GGGGAGCACGAGGGCAGGCACTGACCTCCAAAAAAAAAAACCAAGTAATGTTATTGGAATACACGAGTTTTCTCTTTTCAAAATCCAAATAGAAAGGGTACTTGTTATATTCGAATACAATGTGTACGTTTTCTATTCAAGGAGCTTTGCTATTCGCGAAAAGTGCACCTGCACCGTTTCAATGTTGAAAGTGGCTTAAGGACCTCGGCCTCCTACGGGCAGGTACCGGTCCTACGCGGTCCTGGCCCGTGCAAGGCCCCAAAACCTCAAAATGCCCTCCCTCCCGACGACCACCGACGTTGACTTATTACCGTGAGGCCACGGTGGCGCAACCCGTAGTTCGTTTGTTTATGTGGTTCGAGAAGGATAAGGGCCCTTAGGGCCTGGTTCCCCGACCGCCCTCGGTTATCAATACCTAGGGCCAACTGGCACTGCCTTGATATCACCGGAGGTAATTCAGAATGAATTTCTTCTGTTCATCTCGATCTGTCTGGACTCGAACTTGGGCTGTATATCAACCGTTCATGGGTATCGGAACTGGAACCGAACTGAACGAGGGTTCAATCGCCTACAGTAGGAACTGTGCGGAGGGCGCGCTGTAAGTGAGAATAGTGCGTTCGATCAATGTGGGTTCAACCTATGTGCACGCCACATGGCGCGAAGCACAGCTCACTACATGCTCTTTTTTGCAACGCCCGCCAGGTGGCTCGCACGGGGTGGATGCCTGGGGCCTTGCCAATGAAAATTGCACGCCTGACGGAGGGAGTGTGGGTTGTAGGTAGCTTGGGAGGGGATCCAAGGATCGAAACCTGCAGAGCAAGGCATACTTCGGCGCTCCCTACTATCGCTACCGGTAGTAGTAGAGGCGGTTTTCCCGCGACAAGCTCAGCGGCTCGGCTCTCGTTGATAGCGCAGTTTGCGTCCCGAGTGTCGTTAGCGTCTTTTGCTGACCAAATGAGCTGCCTCAGCGCTCTGTACACAGAATATTCCCACCCACATACGATCTCGGCCTACACACGTGGCGCTGACTGTCGCAATGGCGACTTGATAAGTCATCATGAACTGGCGGTGTATAAGATCAACGTAATGTTTCGGGAAAAGGCGCCAGATCGGTGTCTTCTATAGCCGCGCCCACGGTCGACGTTGTGCGCAAGCTCGTATGTGTGGGCTGACGTTCGTGTTTCTGTGATTGGGAGAGCGGTAAAGAGTGTGCAAACGTGCGAGCGAGCGATCGAGCTCTCGCGCGAGGGAGAGAGGTTTGCAGACGTGCGGGATCACATCCTTGTTTTTTTTTTCTGTGTGCTTGGGGGCGTTTGTGGGTCTTTGCGCGCGCGCGCGTGTGTGTGCGCGCACGTTTTGTGTGTGCGT